TAATTATATACATATTTACACAAAAATGAAAATAAATATAGCAAAATCTGATGTCAGACAAAAGCAAAACTCTCAGAAATGAACAAGTCATTACTGGGGGAAATAAATCTTACTAATGCAAGTGTATAATCCAAACGCACACGTTCCTGCATTAAAAATGGCTGTGTGTATAAGTGGGTGCTGCAGCAACCGTCGGCTGGAACCAAACTCAGCAAGGAAAAAATGTCACCAGCACACCAAGGATCACCAATATGGGTCCAAAGGTTTTAATAAACCATCACATAGTTACAGCAAGGCAACGTTTCGGAGTCTCGCAGGACCCCTTCATCGTCACATGCCTGATGAAGGGGTCCTGTGAGACTCCGAAACATTGCCTTGCTGTAACTATGTGATGGTTTATTAAAACCTTTGGACCCATATTAGTGATCCTTGGTGTGCTGGTGACATTTTTTTCTTCCTTATAAATCTTACCAAGACTCACATCACTAGACCAGACATCAATCCTGCGAGGTCAAGAAAAAACCCCGCTCCCATTATGCATGCAGCCCTTCTTCAAAAAGAAAATCTTAACCAACAAAAACTAAGGGAGTGAAAAGAACAGCATAAGAAAAGAGCCCCTCACCCGGAGAAGGACAGTTCACAAAAGGCAGGTCTGATATTCCTCCACGCCCTTATCCAGACCACCCGAGACTCCCTGCCCTTCTCAAGAGCCTGAATCTTGACGACTGCACCCAGAATATCGTGCACCACCACCTCAATAGGGAGGACTGTCTTCCGCAGGGTAATCTGACACCGTGCATTCCACATGAAGTAACGAACAACCACACTAACTAGAAAAGTGTATCCAAATCAAAGTCCCAGCAAGCTGGGAATGCCCCATACATCCACTCTGCATAACTCATGCCATAGAGAAAGGGGATGCCCAGAACCCTCCCCACCCTTTTTATACATCCCTATGTTAAATGGACACTGGAGCAGAAAGTGGTTCATAGACTCCTCTTTACCAACGCACTCCGCTTTAGGATAATCCCGATCATCCACAGGGCGATGCTTCAGGTTCCCTCTCACATAGAGCCTTCCATGGAAAGCGAGCCAGGCTTGATCCCTAAACTTCAAAGGGATTATCTCCAAATTAATTAAACGTAACCCGTTCCTCATTACAGAGCCTGGGCAATCCTTTAAGGCCAGTGACACATTGAAATCAGAAGCCAAAATCCTCTCTGTCAGAAACTTCTTGGGAAGGGACCTGATATCCTCCACTGTCACCTGCCACTGCCAAAATATTTTCAGACATGGGGCATCACAAGCAGGGAGCTTGCCATGTTGGACTCTCAGATTCTTGACTGGCCCGCCATCTTCCTAGCAATGCAGAAAAGGCTTAATGCAAGACTGAAAATGCCCACCCATCCCGCTGGGGTCTCTGCTAACATTTTATCAATATTGTACTTTAAAAAGAGCAAAGAAAAGAAAACTATTGTGTTGACCATTCCTAGGCCACCCTCCCGCCTGGACAGGTAAATTACATTGCGTTTGCTCAGGTTCAGCCTATTTCCCCATAAGAGTTGGAAAAAAAGAGCTGTAGACCCTTGCATAGAGAGATACCGGCAGGATACAGATGAAGCTGACATATAAAAAGATAGGGATCAGGTACGTTATGATCAAGTCAGCCCTCTCCCTCAAGTGAAACCTCCATCTGTTCCAGATTGCTACTTTGGCATTGGCATCTACCAACCTGCTTTCCCAATTTCGATGACCATACTCACCAGGACCACATTTGATGCCAAACACTTTACTTTCCTGCTGGGGCTCCGGGAAGGCATCCAGAAGTTCAAAGCTTTCACTCTCCTCACCCATCCAGAAAACTTCACTCTTTTCATGGTTGACTTTAGAGCCAGAAGCCTCCTTGTACTACTCTATCACAGAGACCACCTCCTGCGCCTCCTCAGTTCCAAAGATCATAACAGACACATCATCGGCATAGGCCACGACCTTCAAAGGCGGTGCACCAGCAATGCCCAGAGGCACCCCGCACAATGATGCACCTTCTAGCCTTCTTACAAAGGGGTTGAGTGTGAAAGCATATAGCAGGAGGCTCAAAGGACATCCCTGGCGCACACCAGAGCCAATCCCAAAAGGTCCTCTAACCCAACCATTAACAAGTGGGAAGCTCTCATCTCCTCTATAAAAATGTCTTCAGACAACCTGTAAACCTCCCCTGCTGGCCGTTTCTACCAAGCAGCAACCACAGATATTTATGATTCACTCGGTCAAAAGCTTTTGCCTGATCCAATGCCAGCAAGTGCTTTCTCCATCCAGCAGCCCTACATTGCTCCAAAGCCTCCCGGACAGCCAAAACTGCTGAAAAGGTACTTCTACCTTGGACCAAACAGTGCTGATGGCTAGATAACAAATTGCCTTCTACTGGCGAAAAGCACCAAAAAAGAATCTTTGCCAAGATCTTTCTATCAACATTGAGAAAACTGATGGGGCACCAGTTCTCAATCATTGAGGGGTCTTTACCTTTTGACAGAAGAATTACAGCGGATTGCCTCATGGAGGGAGGGAGCAAACCCTCTTCTAGACAGCTGTTGAAAAGCTCCGCTAAAAAGGGAGCCATAATGGACTTAAAACACTTTTAAAATTCAGCTGTCAATCCATCTGGCCCAGGATATGTTTTGGTAGCCTTCTTATCTATAGCACAAACTACATCATGCGCTGAAATTGGTTCTGCCAAATTCATCAAAAGCAATGTACTATTTCCCAATCCTGGAGTAGAATCCAGAAAGCTTTCCATCTTGACCCGGCTAAGGTCCTTTCTTCCCAGGAGGTCTGCATAATAAGACCCAAAGATCTCCAAGATCCCTGATCTGGACTTCACCAGGGAACCTGTACTGTCTTTCAGGCCAATGACCGTCTTAACTGCTGTGCCTTGCTTACAGTTCTGGTAAGGATCAGGTGGGCAATATTTCAAATAATCCCTCTCAAGAACCAAGGAGGTATGCCGGTCGTATTGACACTTCCTAAGAAGAAGCTTCACTTCAGAGATTTCCCCTGGATCTCCTCCATATGAGACAAGACGATCAAGCTTCCTCTGTAAATGCTTGTAGGAGATATACATGCCAAGCTGCTTCTTCTTACTTATGGCCTTGAAAAGTCCAATCTCCATTTGTTTCACAAGCTCCCACCACTCTGACTTACTGCTGCAAAAGTCCAGAATAGAAACCTGTGCCTGAAAAAAATCCTCATAGGATTGTCTTACCTCTACATCTTCCAGGAGAGCCAAATTCAGTTCCAGACACCCCTTCCCCTGGGTGAAGTGTCCGAGGCATTCAGAGTCACAGGCAGCCTACAGTGGTCAGAGAACTCCACCACCTTCAACTCAGGAGCTGAGAGTTCACCTTTAAAAAAAAACCTGTCTATCCTGCTCTGACCATTCCCTCTGTGAAATGTGAAACCTGTGCTGCCAGGGCAGTGCTTAATGTACACATCTACCAGGCCTGCCTGTCTAACCATATCTCTAAGAAAAATGCTATCATAACCCAGCTTGTGGTGTTAAAGTCACCTCCAATGACAACCTGCTGGGACATAAAAAGGAAGGGCTTGATCTTTGTGAGGAGGAATTTTCTGTCCCATTTTGACTGTGGTCTGTAGATATTGATCAGGTGCAGATCCTGACCCCTAACAGGGACATCTAAGACCATGCATCTCCCCATTTCTACATCAATTACCTGCTGGCACATTACAGTATTGGTTTTCAAAAGCAATGCAACTCCGCTGCAAGGATCAACAGGAGGGACCACAACTCCACTCCCTTTTTGCTAGATAGACATCGGCCAATATATTGAGCCAGGTCTCTTGCAAAAATAAAATCTCAGCATCAAACTCACTGAGCAAAAAATAAGGCCATATCAAAAGCTCTTGCAGATTTAATGCTGGCGATATTAAGGGTCGCCACCTTTAATAGACCGGGAACTACGATCAGGATAATTGGTGTATTCATTTCTTAACCTCTACCACACTCTCATCACCCAAAACAGCTCACTTCAGAGAATGCGACTCCCCCTCATCCATAGATGATAAATAAATTGATAAATCAGATACCATCTCATCACCTGACAAAACTGAAGAGGTGTTGCCAAGAGGGAACTGCCGGGTCTGATTCTGAAGAGGAAAGTACAGCTCTTTTCTTCTTCTTTTTCTTCCCCTTAACCTCTCCCACTCCTCATCACCCTCTCCCACTCCTCATCAGCTGAATCCCCTTCAGCAGGAGGTGAGACATGGGACATGGACACCCCTCCCTCAGCCCCATCGGCTCCACCCCCATCCAGCACCCCCACACTCTCCTGACCACATTTGCGCTGTCATGGGAGTAGGCTGAGAGGAAAGATCCGCTAAACCTGCCCCCCCCCCCCCCCCCCAGCAGCTTTCGCTAGTCTGGAGGATTTACGTACAGTAGGATTAGGAACAGGAGGGACAGACACAGGGATGACATTACTAGGGGAAACAGAATCTGATACAACAGACGGAACAGACACAGGAGGGGCAACAACAGTTTCCTCCCTAGCATCAGCTGCCTCATCTTCTTTATCCAGCCTCTGCAGCTCAACCTCCAATCCTGGCAGGTTGTGTAGTGCCTCTGGGCACTGACTATATGGATGACCCAGCTGCTGGCACAAATTGCACTGAATCTGGGTGCATGACAATGCAAAGTGGTCTTTCTTTCCACATTTATTACAAACCTTAGGCTGACCCTGATAGAAAATTGTCAGTCTATCCCTCCCCAGAAAGGCTGAGTAGGGCAGGTGCTGAACCACATTGCCCAGTACCCTCAATTGCAGCGACACTGTCCAGGCCCCTGTCCATATCCCATGCTCCTCAAGGACCTTCCGCAGTGGGCTGAGGACTTTGCCATATCGGCGTTGCCACACTACCAAATCAGCTTCCGGTATGGATTCATTAACCTCCCTGGCGGTTTTCCCGAGTGTAGCTCGGGGTAGAATTTCTATACCACAAGCGGTAACCCCGAGCTACACTCGGGCTTACCATGCGGCGCTGCTCTGGGGGTCCCTGCAGCACTTACCTTGTCCTTCGTTCCCACGATGTGTCCCCTGCAGCGTCCCCGGCCATCTCCTCCGGCCGATGCCGGCATCCGGCTTCTGTGTTCCGGTCCCCGTGACGTCGGGACGTACGGGCGCCGCCGGCGGCGGGAAATTTTAAAAAATTTAAAAAATGTTTTTTTTTTTTTTTTTCAATTTTAAATAGTAAAACATTGCTGTTTCATCCCATTTCACATACATATTGTCCCTAGTGCTTTGTCCTGTGCCCTGCCTGCATTTTGTCTGTTCTTTCTGCCTGGAAACTTAGAAAAGTCCATGGCGTCCAAAAAGCGTCCCTTTACGTCAAAAGCGGTTTTAGACCAGCTAGAGAACAGCGATAGTAAATCAGAACCACTTACAGAATTGAGTGATAATGATTTGTGGGGAAGTTTTCCTAAAAATTACAGCCTACAATAAAAAACTATTTCTATGTGAAAAAATGGTACCGCTTTCAGCACAAAAAATCGGAAGGAATCATACCGCTAGGGAGGTTAAGGACCAGTATCGTCACTGATTTTATCAAAGGCTGCCTTGAACCACCTTTGCCACCAAACCTCTCCACTGCTGAAGGCCCCTGCACCTCCTAAATCTCTCCCAAACAAGATCCAGACTTTCAGGTTTCACAAATGACAAATCATATTCATAACTGCCAACTGGGCAGATCAAAGCAAAACACCACAGGCTTTAAACCCATCTCCAGAATCAACTCAACCACCCTCCCCTTACTGGTGGGATTCCTTCCCCCTCCCACCTCAACTGCACAATATTCCTCCTCCTGAACCCAACCATCCCACCACCAAACCTCCCAAAATTGTGACTGCTAGAATTTTCAACATTCCCTCCACCCCCCTTGGTGTGACTCCCCAAACCAGAAACATAGCTCCCCACACTCCTCCCAGCAGCAGAAACATTGGTATGTTTAGCATCTGGTGCAACTCTAGCAGATTACGATTCTACAGATACGAGATTGGATGGTGAATCCTCTCTCTGCTGAGCAGGGGGAGAAATGTCATTTTTACTCTTGTCAGCAATATTAACCCCTTCGGCACCACCCACCACCAACACATTCATTGCTTTAACAGTCTCACCAGTCATATTATTTGCTGACACATTCATAATCTTCACAGCAATATCTGTACTCACAGCTGGACTGATAGAAACTTCAGCTCCAGTTGTCATTTCCTCCTCCAGCACAGAGCTTTCAGCCCAGGAACGTGCCTGCTGTTCAAACACAGCAACAGGTAAAACATCACAGACATCCATGTTTGCCGTTTTCTCTCCACATGGTGCAGTGTGCTGCTCTCCTCCCCCGCCAGCATCAATCAGCTCTGGAACACATGGGAGTCCAGGTGCAGCAGACTCCTTACAGCCAGTGGCCATCTTGCTTGCAGCATTCCCAGAGGCACTACTGGTTTCAGCAAAGGCAGGAGTAGCAAAATCCATGTCCGAGGTGTTTGGCGCAGATCCATCCACATTCCTCTGATGGTCTGGAAACATCTCTGTCAGGGGTTTTCCTTCCATGTCTGCAGAGGTTTAATCCACAGCAGAAACTTCCACAGCAGGTTGTTTGTAGAGTTTCTCTTTCTGTTCCTCAGCTGGGACACCATCCACCACAGCCGGTGGGGCAGACATGTTGGAAGCAGCCATCTTGGTGTACTGGGACTTCTCCACCATTGCAGGCTTTACTGGTTTGTACCTCCTCTGTCCATCCTCAGGGACTTCTAATGGATCATCAGAAAAGGCGAACCTGTCTGCCCTCAGGGGTGACTATCTGCTGGATGAAATTCAGGGTTCCATGCTCACTCTCAACCCCCCGACTGATTGCCGCTGACAACTCCACAGCCTGACATGGGGGGAGAGACACAGAGGTAGATGGTGCCGGGTCGTCCATTACCTGAGGCTGCTGATCCACAGGACTCGCTGATGTCTGGCTGGCAAATCTATTTTCATTATTAAACTTGTTTGCAAAGGCTCCACTTCTGGCTTTCAACTTTTCCAACAATAAAAATTGTTTCTTCACCTTTTCCTCCATCTGCTGTAGCTCTGTCTTCATGGCAATCATACTCCAGGCCTGGTAGTATTTGGCTCTGAAGGATTTATGCTCAGCTTTCAAAACTTTACGTTTTTCCTCAGCTCTTCCAACTGCCTTAAAACGATCGATAATCCTCTGTCTGTACACATCCACATCCTCACCAGGGCCTGGACCCACAGTCAGGTCCTCCACCTCCTCCTCCTCACTTGGTCCTGTGTCATCAGGGGGATCCCTCTCAGAGCCTCCCACTGGATATGGAATGGTTCCTGGGCCAAGCTAGCAGTCAAGGCCCGGGCTTGAAAAACTCTGGTTCTCAGGGAGAGCTCCTTCAGTGTGTCCTCCTCATTCTCCCACTGACCACCGATGTTTGAATCCACTCACTGTTGTTCACAGTCAATCAAATGTAAAGTGGACCTGATGGGAAACTAGTCTCTCAGTTCCCCATCAGGATCTGCCCACCCAGTGGTATGTAATTTCCCAAATATGGACATTGCCCATATTTGGATAATGACATCACCTGTGTCTCTGCTTACATTTTGGCCGGGGAATCTTCCAACAGCTAATTAGGGCCAGGGCTACAGCTCTGTGCAGGAAGTTTGTAACTTCTCTGAAAGAGGGTATGAGCACCTATAAAGTCCCAATTCTTTAAGCTTTCTTTTGATTGCTTTTTCATATGCAGGGGTGTGGTGGCTGAATGTACCAACTAGACCTATTATTATTCTGTGCAGGAAGTTGTTGCATACATTACACCTTCCCAGCACAGGCACAGCCCACTCTGAGTACTAGTGTGCCTTCATACACCATGTTCTCAGAATTATTGCAAGTTTCCTAATCTAAGAAATGGAGGTCATTCTTTAAGAATTTGTTCCTGCCATAGCGACAGATTCCTAAAGTGGGGGTAGTAAGAACTACTCGAATTTGATACATGTGTCAGCAGTGTTAAAGGAAAATGCTTGCCTGAATTAGTGCCTTTAGGGCCATTTTGAATTCCCTTGTATGTGTCCTGCTGCTACAGTCCTGGCGTCATAACAAGGTGGAGAGGCAGCGAGGTAACGCCATGCTGTCCACCTCATCCAATCAGAAAACGGTTTACACTCATTGTACACTTTATCAGATAAATTGTCATGCATGTGGCTTGCAGCAGGTATGGCATAGGTTTTATCAATCAGATATTGAGGGGAATTAAGGCTCAGTTTGCACCTACTGATGCTACCAAGTGCAGCAGTGTCCCCAGGCAGTTTTTGTGCATTCCCACTCACTGCATGTAGGGCAGCCCAGTCATTTAATTGGGCTGCCCTATGCATGAGAAATGCATGCAAAAAAAAAGGCCCTGAAAAAAAAGGGTTGCAAAAACACGGCCTGTTGGCAGATACATAGGGCTACCATTAAAAGTTAATGACATGGCTGTGACTATGCTAAATTACACATTTTTCTGTATGTCAGGAAAGTGTGCAATTTTGTGCACATTCCCAACATGCAAAAATCTGAACCTAGGCTAAATCTCTAGTCAGCTGAAAAAGAATTAGAAGCTAATGCCCCCCCGCTCCTCCCCACCCAATATGCATGGTATATAGCTTGTTTTGTGTAGAGTGTAATGAATAAGGTGAAATAATTACCTTGCTCCTCTTTCCACACACTTCCTACAACCGGTCTCACTGAGCCTTTTCTCTTTGGCTTTTGACTGATGGCCCAATGGTATACATTGCATGTGAGGGCGTCAACGGCCCCACACTGAGAAAGTCAGATTGTGAAGGGGAGCTACCAAGGCAAGCAAGGAATAAGGCTAGGTTCACACCTATGCAGTTTGCATTTGATCTGTTTCTACAGTGCTTTTTGCAGCCCATTTTGCGTTTTTGCACATGCGTTTTTGATGCGTTTTGATGCATTTTTTTCTTGTTGCTAGGCAGATTAAATGCAAAACACATCAAAAATGCTCAAAAACACAGCAAAAACACACTACATGCTTTTCTGCAGCATTTCCATTGAGGTCTATAGAACCAAAAACGCAACTTTTTGTGTTTAAAAAAGTTCCTGACACTTTAAAAAAATGCACTGGTTGAAAACACAGAGAAGTGAACATGTCCCATAGGAAATCATGTTAAATGGACTGTAGTGCGTTTCTGCACAACACAAAACATTGCGGAAAATGCTTAGGTGTGAACCTAGAGTAAGGTAAGTTTATTACCCCTAAAATTAGCTATTAGCCATTGCAGCTCTGGGGGGACACTAGCTTCATAAGGCAGCCCATACATACAGTACATCATTTTTTTTCTTGTTGAACTAGTGGGGTATTCCCTTCCACTATGCTATTGTGTTCTGACATCAGGGAGCCTTCCCCACCATCAGAATACAAAGATCAGTTCTGTTGGCTATAGCCGGCGACATTGATCGACTGGGAAAAACCCAACAGGCTAGCTGTACACAAGATGATCAGTAGAAAAAGGGTGCCCATAAATGGACCAAAGTTCAGCCGGTCCCTGCTGAAATCACCGAATTTCGATCCATGTATGGCCAGCTAAGCTTTTTCAAACCTCATAATCACTATTTTTGTCAACCTTTAAATTTGTGGAAGACAAATTCTTTTAGATTGTAACTCCCTCCAACACTGGTCATATGACCCAGAGGCCTGGCAAAGGGACATATGTCACGGTCAGTACCATCAATCAAAACCCAACAGGCTAGCTGTACACAAGATGATCAGTAGAAAAAGGGTGCCCATAAATGGACCAAAGTTCAGCCGGTCCCTGCTGAAATCACCGAATTTCGATCCATGTATGGCCAGCTAAGCTTTTTCAAACCTCATAATCACTATTTCTGTCAACCTTTAAATTTGTGGAAGACAAATTCTTTTAGATTGTAACTCCCTCCAATACTGGTCATATGACCCAGAGGCCTGGCAAAGGGACATATGTCATGGTCAGTACCATCAATCAAACCCTAGAACTTTGGGTGACCTAACAACAGGTATAAAGAATGCAATACTAGATCATTATGAAACACAAGAAATGTTCAGTGACCAGTAACAGCAAAATTACATTATAAATGTATACACATCAGTATTATTGTTTAGAAAAAATGGCATACACTATGTCCAAACCAGCTGAATGAGCACTGTGCTACATCCCTCAGTTGGTTAACACACCATATCATACATTGCATTTTCAATCCAGTCTATATACATTGCTTCCTATTCTTAAGTCCTGATGGAGAGAAAAGTTATGGCCCCTGAAACACATTGGCTTTCTTGTGTAGTCTTCCACTTGATTTTGCACCGGGATGAATTTGTGTCTGGACTAAGTAGGCACTTATATTGCAATTGACAAGCTGTGCTATGCATTACATGCTCACCCATGCACCCTGCCTGCTGCACTGTATACGCTGCATTGTATGTTGTACATTATGTAGTCCTGAATGTTGCACTTTATACACTATGGGTGTATGTATTAAACAATTGCAGTGCTTTTAGTCCTGTAAAACCACATATATATTTTGTAGTGTGTGAATACAGACAAAATCAAATGTTGTTAGGCTATTTTCTTTCCAGGTCGTTTATAATTAATTCAAACACAAATATAGTGAATCAGGAAAATACTGTACTAAGGCCATTAGATGGAGCCAAGGATAATAGAATGTAAATATGTATGTACTATGATTGTCAACTCCATCTAGTGGCCATATTAGAGTATTTTCTTGATTCATTGTATTCTGAATGAAAAGACTTGGACAGAAAATAGCCTAATAACATTGAATTTAGCTCCCATTCAGCAGACAGACTGCATGGGTTTGTATGTAATGTACAGCACATTTTGTGAAGTGTAGCGATCAGACATAAGTGCCTTCCTACAGCTGGAGAGAAAATAGCCTAGATACATTTGATTTTGCCTCTGTATTCACAGAACAAATGTACATGCCCTTTCACTGGGTGAACTGCTATGTATGTTTTTTATAAATACATCCCTATGTGTACTGTATGCAGACACAATCTAGCCACAGCCACTGTTCACCAAAATACGATGTGGAGAATTCATCCCTTCTTATGCAGGCCATAGATGGGGAGCTCCGGCAGATTTTTCTTTTAAAAAAACGAAAATTCGGTCGTTCAAGCGGCCGACGTTACCATCAATGGAAAAAAAAATCGGCCGATTTTCATCCCTTCTACAGCTGGCAAAAAGTGTAGCCACTATTTCTGACAGTTCTTTGACATTTACAGCGGTTGAAACATTGTATCTATTTGTTTGTTTAGGATACAGATGTTTTTATTCGGAAACAAATAGATACAATGTTTTCAAACCGCTGTAAATGTCAAAGAACTGTCAGAAATAGCGGAGCTCTCTGCAGGGACACTTTTTGCTGGATTTCGAATTCTTCTTATTTTCATCCTACTAATTCTTCTTCTTCATCCTCATCCTCTTCTTCTTCTTCTTCATCCTCATCCCTCTTCTTCTTCATCATCCTCCTCCTCCTCTTCTTCTTCTTCTTCTTCTTCATCCTCATCCTCTTCTTCTTCTTCTTCATCCTCATCCTCTTCTTCTTCATCATCATCCTCATCCTCTTCTTCTTCATCATCATCCTCATCCTCTTCTTCTTCATCATCATCATCCTCATCCTCCTCTTCTTCTTCTTCTTCTTCTTCATCAGCATCATCCTCATCCTCTTCTTCTTCATCTTCTTCTTCTTCTTCTTCATCCTCATCCTCTTCTTCTTCTTCATCATCCTCATCCTCTTCTTCTTCTTCTTCATCCTCATCCACTTCTTCTTCATCCTCTTCTTCTTCCTCTTCTTCTTCTTCAACCTCTTCTTCATCCTCTTCCTACTTCCAAAATTCTTTTTCTTCTTTTTGCCTTCCTCTTGCAGGTCATTGCTCATGCGCAGATTTTTTATCGGTAAAAAATCGGCCGATTTGCCCACTAATTGCCGATAATAGAATGTAAAAAAGCCAATCGGCAAAATCGGCCGATTTTTTTTTTCCAACTTTACCGAAAAAAAAAAAAAAAACGGCCAAAATACCGAAAAACGGCCGACCAAATCGCCCACTAACTATCCGAAAATCGGCCGATTTTATTTTCGGCCGAAAAATCGGCCGATTTTCGACCCATCTATGGCCTGCATTAGTGTGCCGCATAATCTGGTGCAGCTGTGCATGGTAGCCAATCAGCTTCTAACTTCAGCTTGTTCAGTTAAGCTTTGGCAAAAAAAACTGGAAGCTGATTGGTTTCTATGAGTTGCACCAGATTTTAACTGCTTCCGCACCGCCCTATAGC